GAAATTTGCTCATGTACAGCCCATCCCAAAAAAAGGATCTAAAACCGACCCTTACAACTACAGGCCTATAGCTCTGCTTTCTGTTATAAGTAAAGTGATGGAGAGGTGCATAAATCGCGAACTTCTGGACTACCTCGAACGTCACAGCGTGATTAGCGACAGGCAGTACGGTTTCCGGCACCAACGATCCACAGGGGACCTCCTAGCTTACGTCACGCAACTGTGGAGTAAACTCATCCAGTCTCATGGTGAGGCTCATGTCGTTGCTCTTGACATCACGAAAGCGTTCGATCAGCTGTGGCACGCTGCCCTCTTGAGCAAACTTCCATCCTCCGGCCTCCCAGAAAAGCTTTGCAGATGGGTGGCTGACTTTCTCTCTGGCCGCAAGATATCCGTCGTAATTGACGGATTCTCCTCTTCATCCCACAACGTCAACGCGGGTGTTCCCCAGGGGTTGGTCGTGGCCCAACACTGTTTCTCTACATATCAAGACCTCCTTCCTGCACGATCACCCAATCCACAGCTTCGCTGATGAAAGCACTTCTGCAGGGATTCAGAGTGACAAGCGATCTCTGCCGCTGAGCTGTAAAAAAGAGACTAGCGACGACTTCTTCTCTGACAAGAGACCTGGAGGCTATCACTGCTTGGGACGCAACAATCTTGTACAGTTCAATGCTTCCAAAACACAGTACTGTACTTTGACGAACAAAAAGCGTCCTAGCGCTCATACAGTTTTGATGGACGGTCGAGTTCTACCAAAGAGCCATTCATTTCGGCTGGTGGGAGTCCAGATCACCGAGGACCTGATCTGGCACGAACACATCTCTTCAATAGCTGCAGCTACTGGGAAAAAGCTAGGCTATTTGTTTAGGGCTAAGAAGTACTTTTCTCCGCATGACCTTCTCACTCTATACAAGGCCCAGATAAGGCCTAGCCTCGAGTATTGCTCACACATTTGGGGTGCTGCCGCCCCGACTACATTGTCCATGCTCGATGCTGTCCAGAGGAGGGCGGTCCGACTGATCGATGACTCTTCCCTAACAGACAGTCTCGGGACTCTTTCGCACCGGCGGGCCGTCGGCGATCTAGCTCTTTTCTATCGCTACACCAACGGGCTTTGCTCCTCAGAGCTCTCTTCGATGATGCCGCCGCGCGATGTGCCTTCCAGACAGACCCGCCTGACTTCGGCGTCCCATCCTAACCGTGTCAAACTTTGTACATCCAGAACTGGCCGATACGACCGCTCCTTTGTCCCGAGGGTGTCTAGATTGTGGAACAATCTACGGGAGGAAGCTTTTCCCAGTTCTACTAACCTTAGGCAGTTTCAAAAATCGTATTAACAAAATTTCTTTGGGATCATCATAGCAGCCGCGGTGTTCCAGCATTTAGGCTTCTGCCTGCGCGGCTGTTTCGATATAAAAAAAAGAAAAAAAAACTACTCAGAAATCTTAAGGGTAGAAGAAAAAATCCAATTTTTCGGTGATCTTTGAGAGGATGTATTTCCATGAAAAATGATCGTATCTAGGTTTAAAATAACATTTTGAAGCTCTAAGTTTTTGGTTGTTAGGCCTTGCTATCCAAAATTTTTAGGCGGAACGCTGCTTATGCAATTTTCAGAGATAGCACAAGAAAGATTTTGTGCAATTTTTTTCTTCTTTTCAGACCATGGGCTTGAACATTTTTTTCCATGAGACCATCAACTGGATGGGGTAGCCCCCTCCAATCTAACATCTTCAAGATATTGATTCGATCATTTGATGTGGTGATATCTGCTTTAATGAAAAATTATGATTTTGTCATCGACCACTGATACCTTGCTAACCAGTGATCGCACAGAGAAATTTTCCAATTGCTTCTATAAAAATTGAAGATTTACAGATATAATAGTGACCACAAAGGGGAAAAATGATTTATCCATTTTCAACCAAATTTCGTCCAGTCGGTCCAGAGAAACCGTACAGTGGATCGATCTGTTGCCTGTTAGCCATATAATTACCATTACCGCATATGCGGTAGATTTTCCAAAATAAGACATAAGACATAAAGTGATTTTTTTGAGTTTTTTAAAATCAAAACTAAGTAAACCAAAAGAAAAGTTCCTCAAAGATTGCATTTAACCGAAATACCGTTACATTCTCTGTGTGATCATTGGTTACCAAGATATCAGTGGTCGATGACAAAGGGATCCGTTTTCATTCAAACTCCGCGCCAACCGATCGTATCGACATCTTATGAACAGAATATTCAAGCTAAATAAATGGGTTATCCGATTGATATGATAATCTACAGAAAAAAATTCCCGCTCTTGGACTAAAAAGGAGAATTAAAAAATTTTGAATACATTTTTATTGCGTCATCAATAGAATTGCATGAGAACCCTTACTCCTAAAATTTTTTGGCTAAAAAAATTAAAACTAGAATTTACTAGAGCTGGAAAATGTGTTTTTCAAGGTCTTGATAAGACCATTTTTCACCGAAATACAGCCTGCCAAATGTCACCGTAAAATTTGGATTTTGTTCTTGCTCCCTTAATTTTTTTGAACAGTGTGTTTGGCAAAATAGCCAAAATGCCCATTTATTTGTTACACTCCAGGAACGCTGCAAACGATATTTCTTACTTTAAGGATTTATTTGATAACACTGCATTGAAATATAGATTGAGAAGTAGATTGGGTGATGTATTTTGAACTATATGGCATCATAAATCTAAAGGGATAATCCGAAAATGCAAATTATTTTCGTTAAGCACTCTAGTTCAGGTCTAGGGTCTATAACAGTCAGCATTTCTTATCTGTTTGCTTGTTCTGCTCTGAATAGAATAGGATGACTAATTTTGGTACCACGTAAACACTGGCTACATAGAACAGATGCAACCCTCACAGTCAATCTTACCATTATCTTATCACCTTCCCACCAAAAATGCTGGTAAACATAACTATGGCTTCGTTCCAACAAAGCCGTGTACGGTACAGTGAACCATCATGAGCGTGCGCAGTACGGTTTTAGGGTCACTTAAAACGTACTGCGCACGCTCATGACTTTAAAAACGGCAACAAACAAGTCGTGATTAGTATCACCTCATGATATTGGTTTATATTTTGTTACATAAAAGCGACTATTGCATGACTTTTATACATTCAGTTAGTCTATCGCATAATATACCCAAGGAGTCTTCTATAAAACAAAAATATTCCCTAAGTTTGCAAAACACGATTTTGTATTTATTTGTCAATTTCGTCTTTGGCGGAGACACTTTCGAGAGACTGCTATTAATCGACTGTAAAATAGGCCAGAGATATCGAAAAATATATTACGTCTTTGAAACGTATTATAAAATCATGATCTTTACATGTCTTTTCTTATATCAAAATAACTTGTTCATCGTCATATGTTTTCGAGCATTTAACATCCATTAAAAGTTGACGAATGCGAATTTGGAAGGTAAGACGTATAGTGTAACATACAGCTTTGAGTATTTGAATAAGCAACTATGTTTCGACGTCTGTGAAAAGCTCATCTAATTCTTTGCTGTTAAGAATACAACAATTTGTATGAACAAAGTCAAGGCACAAATAGATGGAGAATAGATTTCTGTAGATATGTTAGCAGTTGTAATATGCACATTCATCCAAGAAATTTTGGATCTTAGTAGTGGAAAGTGTACCACATAAGATTTCTATAAAAAGTATTTGTACCCTTATTCCAAAAGTGTTGTATAACCTGGCGAATTTGCTTCCGTAAAAAGAATATGTATGTATAAAGATTACACAACAGAAAAGCAATATAGTTTCCTCCTCAGATGTAGTTCCCAAAGATGTGAGCATGCTATCACCGCGATAGGTTCGGTATGTCAATGATAAGAACCTGTGGTGGGTGCGTGCTTGCCTCAGACATTGACATGACGCATTTTTTTTTGGTGTCATGTGACGGTCTTAACCAGTTCTACAAGAAACAAAGATAAAATCCAACATTCTTCCAAAAGGTTTGAATGTTGGTCGCAAAATGTATCTAATATTAACGTGTTCATAATTCCTATACAGTATGAAGTCGGGACCACAAATGAAACGTTATACACAGGTCTCGTTTTAATTAGGTCTCCTATGTAACATTTTTCCCTCCAGAGCTTCATTAAAAAGATACGGGGTGTTGAAGTTTAAAAATAACAAACATTTATTTTTAATATCTTCAAAACCGTCAACTGGAATGAACTCAAATTTGGTATGCGGATTTACCTAAGTATTGTCTACATTTAAAAGTCTTCACTCAAAGTTAATGTGCACCAGTGGCGCAGATACAGGGGACTAGTTTCATTATTTTTCCAAATAAAAATAGTTGGCCACTGTTTTTTTTTTCAGATCGCTCATTTACTACAAATAATTACTCTTCTCTTTTTTCCTAGGGTGCTTGTTTTCGCAAAAATACAAAAAACAAATTAGGTATTCTAAGCTTTAATTCAATAAATGTTCAAAAAGACCACCATTCTGACGGATGCAAGTGCGGCATCCTTTTAGTAAAAAAAAAAACATATTTCCGCCAAATTTGTTATGAATTGAATTTGATGAAACGTATTATCTATTATTTCTTGTGACCGATCAACAGCACCACCAACAACAAACATGACGCCACTTATCCCCTGTATATCCGCCACTGGTGCACGTTAATTTTGAGCAAAAACTTTTAAATGTGGATAATACCTAGGTGAATGCACATACCAAATTTTAGTTCATTCCGGTTGACGGTTTTGAAGATTTAAAAGAAACTTGTTTTTTATTTTAAAACTGCATCGCTCCGTAGCTTTTTAATGAAGCCATCTAGGAAAAAATGGAACATAGAAGACTCTCCTTAAAATGCGGTTCTGTCTATGATGTTTCGTTGTTGGTCACGACTTGTGCATGACCCCCGTTTATATCCGCCGAGCTAAGCACAGTGAGGGTAACTGAACGTTGTGGACTTCGTGTGTAGTTTCTTCCCTCTCCATCTTCGTTTCCTCAGGTTACACCTGCATCCGTATGTGTGGGCATGTGTAGCTATCTTTGTACTTTTATATGTGCATTCATTTCGGGCCTGATGAAGCCAACCAGCAGAAATACGTATCACTCGGGTTACCCATAATATTTTCTGCTCGAATCCACTTTCCTCCTTTTTGCGGATTTTGCCCATTATTTGCACTTTTTGTTATATATATATATATATATATATATATATAGTTTATCACAGTTACTTAATTGGTTTGGCGAAAACTTTAAAGTTTGTGTGTCATTAACTTATGTGTATTAAAGTTCGAACCAGTTTGGATCTAGCCACCTCTGGTATATGGCCGCAATACATACGATTAAATGACACACAATCTTCAAGTCTTTGATTAAAGTAATGAAAATAAGTTTAAGAGACCTTTACATATTTGGAATAGGACAAAAAATACAACTTTATTCGATGGCGTTTTTTGAGTCACCCGGTATATGAAAAAGAACATTACATGAAAAACTTTATATAACACTCTAAATTTTTATATAAAACTTTTTCTTCAAGAATCCCATGCGAAGACGTATAATACAGTTCTTTTTATTTTCTGTGAAAAACAACCTTGGACATACTGTTCCATATTTGGACAGTCTAGCCAGGTTTACGTAATTCGGTATAGTATCGGCAACAGAAGCTGCTGTCGCAGGCCGTCCATTGTTTAGAAGAACAACTGAGATGATTCGTATGATACAAAGAAAATATGGAAGTTTACATCAGAAACTTTATCGTTAACTAAATGTGAGGTCACGCATTTAAGATCAGACGTTAGCTGCAGCGTGCAAAGGCACTTTTTGTATCAAAAAGCCATTACCGCTGTTCGTTCATCAATCTTAGAATCTCATGTGGCTATGTGAAAATTCATTCGTAAGCATCATCAAGAGCAATTTTGTGATTTTATTGCATTAACATGCGCAGCTGGAAAGTATAAACCGATTTTATTTCACCTCTTTTGTTAAGACATGACTTTCTGCCAAATAACCTTGTAAAAGTCAAAAATAATAATTTCTCCATTTAAGCTCAGGCAAGCATTAGTCTAGTTGTCTAGTCTACCGACTTTCACTTCTAATACGCCTTCAATTTGCGAAAGTATGAAATTTACCTAGTCAGTTAACTGGTATTGTACTTATTTTCAAACGTTTGAGAATATGCAAAGGGTTCCTGATCTAATTTCCATTGTAGAAGGGTAAAAGAGGGAATTTTTAATGTCTTAAGACAGTACTGACTCACGGAACATCATAACTTTCGAAACTTGTGTTAGGGGACGCTATGCCATACTTATATTGATTGTTTGCCCAGAGA